AAAAAAAAAAAAAAAATGCATTAATAGATGCAATGCATGAAATTTCAACAAGAAATAATCGGAAAGTTTTCAGAACATAAAAGAAGAATTTGTTATGCTATTGGCTATCAAACTCAAGCACTGCGGTTTCTATTAAAAGATGAAAAGCGATAATTCACTAAAATTCTAGGTACAATGGTACTTCATTTGCATCACCACTTGCAGTTCTTTTGAAGTCAAGTAAACACCATATCCAATTTTCTCCAACCTTGGTGTTGCAGTATTAAAGGCTTTGTTACATGGTACAGAGCACGTCCCGGACAAGAAGTAACAAGGGTTCCGTTGAAAAACAAATTGTAGGACTTTCCAGTGTTACACATACCATCTAGAATGGCCTATGAATCCAAGGTGGAGTACAGCAGACCACCGGTCTCTAAATGAAACTGCACCCTAGACCAAAATTTTGTTGACCGCCGGTGACTGGCGTTGGGGAATCGAGCTCCGCGGCGGTCAGTTTTGAGGGAAACGTGAAACAACCATCATATCATCATAGGTGTCCTTGATGCTCAGCAACCTCAGATGGACACCATAGGAGAACATGTGAGATCAAAAGCCTACAGAGCAGGAGAAAGAATTATGTCATTAGGTCAACACATATCAAAGTTTTCCCACACACCCACACACACATCTCTAATTATGCTATGGAAGAGTTTTAACTAAAAAATTAAAAACAAAGGGCACACTACAAATACAACCAACACAATTCTTACTCAGCCAGATAATGGTCATTGAAAGCACTCATGTTACTATGGGCACTTTAAGAAACAATTCATAAAAAATTAATCATCATAAGAATCCCAATAATGACTAAAAATTTTTTGTGTAAAGAAATTCTCACAAAATGCATGATCGTCATAAGAACCTCAAAAATGAGTAAGGGTGGCACTTTAATGGCATAACCTGATCCAACAAATCCCAATTCAATAAAATACTGCACACCACAACTGCTATCACCACCAGCAGGGTAGCTGCAAATGCAACCTAGAGTCGAGAGATACAAAGTACAATTACAACTTAACAGCTTTAGATAAGTACACTACCTTCGCATATTGCAAATAGTCAAGGACCACACCAACTGTTTCATTGAGACCAGTGATAACCTTACTTGAAATGCTCTCGCTTATGATGGAAGCTATATTTGATTCTGCAAATAATTATCATACTCAACACATGTCTGGATAGTACATATGAATAATTTAAAAAGAAAGTCACTTCCACGGCTACTCATAGTAGATACTTCCACCGGCTACATAAAATATTTATAATCTTTTTAGTTACTCAAAAATCAAGAGTCGAGAGATAATGATTGTAAGCCGCCTCCGCGAACCTATCTGTCATTGTTCGCGCACGTCAAATCCACCATCCGATCCCCTCCATGTGCCCGATGAGAAGTCCTGTGATCTTTTCCCAACGGTTTTCGTGCTCGGTGTGCGCCCGAAGGATGATCCCATCCTTCTCCGTCGTGAACGTCCGGTGCTCCACCACCGGAGGCGGCACGATTTTCCCGATCTCCCTGAAATTGACTGGCTTATCAACCACTAATTCTTTGCTCCTCGTCGGCTATTAATGAGCCCCCGAAGCACCTCACCCTCCTCCGGAATCCACGACCCCTTTGATCTAGCTTGGAGCTCCGTCCCCTGCCAACAATGGTCAACCGTCGCTAAAAACCCTAACCTTGCGTGTGTGGGATGGTTGGGTGTGAAGTGAGTGGTCGCTCATTTCAGAAGTTCATAAAACTTCGTGGGTAAGAAAACATCTATAAAATTAATTTGACTGCAACTGGTTTGGGTGCAGAGAAAATGGAAGTCGAGGATTTTCCGGATTGATTTGATGGAGAAGAACAAGTGATGTGATTTTGGTACATTAAACATAAATATATCAATTGATAAAATAATTTTTTTTTAATAAATTTTAATAAATATTATTATTTTTTATTATTATAAAAATAAATATAATTTATTTATTTCATATATACAATATGGATGTCAAATCGAAAATCATCAAAAGATGATTAATTTGATATATAATATATGTAAAATCGATATGAAATATAAAAGTTATCAATGTTTAAAATACATTTACAATTCAATAGCTAATTGAAGGAAACAATTAAAGTCGGGGATATATCAGTCACTTAGTGCCTATTATGTAAAATTACATATAATTAAAGGGTTATATTAGTACAAGTGATATTAAAATACCTAAGTTAGATAAATAATATTTATGGAATGTCTTAACCTAGATTATTAATTATTAATTAATATATCAATATTATTTGTCCAAATTACGAAGCATAATTCTTCGCCAAGTAGGATTCCGAAGCACCAGAAGCAGTCACGTAGGCTCAGCGCATTCGAAAATTATATATAGGGAGGATTTACCATTTTTTAAAAATAAAAACTAAATTTTGGTCAAAACCTCTTTCTTCATTAATTGTATTCTATATTATCTAGTATGTGCCCCGTGCGATGCACGGGATAAAGATATTAAATGAGTTATTTTTAAAGTCTCTTTCCTTCAAGTCTAAAATCCGAGAGGGTTATCATTTATTTTTCACTTCTTTTAATCATCGTTAAGTCTAAAAAAAACAATATGATTATGATATATTTTCCACTTCTTTTAAGTAACGTTGATTTTTTAGACACAATATTGTTAAATATGAGCATGTTAGGGCTAGCTTGTAAACTCATCAATATATCATCTCACTAGCACATTTATGCTAATATAAATTTGATTTTAGTATATATATTTATTCCTTGATATAAGAGAAAATAACATTTTTACTTATTCTTGTTCATCATATATATCTTAATTATTATTTTATTAGAAACTTTTTTGTCATATAATGTCATTATTATTTATTAATGTTATAGAAGTTGTACGTCTTATTTTTCTTTTTATTTTATGAAATGAAATTATTTAATGCACGTTAGTATTATTTATTTATGTAATCATTTTAAAATATGTAAATAAATTAAAAATTAATTAGTGTTTAAATATTTTACAAAATATATTTATAGAATTCAATTTTGTATACTAATTAAACAACTTTGTATACACATGTCCGTCCAAACTTAGAATGTGTTTTCATTTCTAAACCGGCGATTTATGAAATCTGCTAGGAAGGAAAAAAAAAATCAATCAACAAAATTATTAGCATATAAGAATAGATTATGATATCACTAAAATGGTTTGATTTTATATAAATTCAAACTGTACACAACACATAATTCATGACTATTATTCTTTACAGCAAAAACTGACAATATGGCATGCCAAACAACAACTCAGATTATGGCAATGTATTTAATGCTTATTTTTATTTTTATATGAAAACACTTAAAAATAATACAAAACTTACCGTTTTAGTATGTAATTAATGATTTTGGCAGGAAACTATTTATAAAAATTATTTAACTTTATTCTTATTTTATATAGATAGATTTGATTCCATTCTTTGAATAACTTCGAATGTAATCGGATACATGATTAGTCAAATAGTGAACTGAATATTGTGGTATTTTTGAAAAAATGAGTTACTCTGATTAGTGGATTTTTTGGGATATGTTTTGTTATTTTAGTCTCGTTTTATAACCAATTTGATTACTTTATTTGTATAACTTTAAACTGAAATATTTATAATTAATTTGTTTTTTTTTCAATTATTATTTAAGTTGTATCTATTTCATAACTATATGTCTAAAAAATAATATTTTTGTGTTGAAACATGTTGTTTATATATATGTATATAAAATTTGTAAATAATTTTTCATTAATGATTAAAATTTGTATTATTATTTATTAGCATTCCTATTTAAATTATGATTAAGGTAACAAATTTAACAAAAAAAAACTTTTCACGTGTAAAAGATTAATAAAAAAATGTTTCCATGATAATGAATTTGTGTATATTTCCTTTACCGCAATCCTCCAAAGAAGCATGTTACCATAAGTATCTCAAGAAAAAGTTGAATATGACAATAATTTACAACTTGATTTCCTTTTTTCACGGCTAATTATCTCATTTGACAAATAAATTAGAATCATTCCTTTTTTATTTGGAAAACAAATCTATAATTGGGAAATATGAGATTTATTTGGATTTCGATTCCATATTGACTACCAATATAAAAGTATTCGATATTAGATTCCTAAAAAAAGGGAAAAAGCTGATATGCTAATAAATCATGATTTTGTTAATTTACTATTTTTAGACAATAATTAATGAAATTGACGGGAAAGTGTTTCTAAAAGTGAACTATGTTAATCCTTATTATATATTAATAGAATAACAAAAGAACTCTAAAATAAGCCCCTTCTCTCTCTTAATCCCTAAATCTTGCAGGCGTCGTGTAAGCCCCGGCCCAAAATTATATATATTTAGCTCGACTTTATTTATCAAAATTAGTATTATTTTA